CCTCCTACACATAAGACCGAGTGTTAAGAAAATGTAGCTAAGTCTACCCCGCACCTGCTGAGAGCCGGCGCCGCGCGGGAGGGGCTGGCGGGGCCACGGGTGTGAGCGCAGTGAGCCCGGGAGCGCGGCTGTGCGCGCGCGCGGGGAGGGGCCGTGCCGTCACCCGGAGAGCCCGGCGGATCCCGGACTCCGCCGCGCACCTCCGCTCACCGCTTGCCCGGCTCCAGCAGCCGCCGCCGCACGGTGAGTATTTGCGTCCGGTCGCCCGCCGCCCCCCCCGCTCCCTGACCCTACAGCTTCTTTCGTTTAGTTCCCATTTGGGTTCTAGCGGATGTTTTTATTATTATACCTAAGGAATCCGTCGCCTCACTCCCACCGCGCCCGCCTCCCACCTCGTCGCCCACTCCTAGCTCACCCCTCAAGCTCCCGGAGCCGGCGAGGGTTCCCCGAGCCGCCCTAGCCGCTGCTCCTCGTCACTGCGTACAACCCTTTACCCTGGCTTTCTGCTCTGGCCCCCGAAATTCGGTTCCTTTCCTAGGGCCCCCCTTCTCCTGGTCCCGGGGCCTGGGGCCCCTCCTTCCATTCAGGAAAACCCCGCGGGGACAACAGACCCTCAGCTTGGGGAGGAGGATGCGCTCGGCTCGGAGCAGTCCCTTCACTGCATGCGGGCAGGGCACACTTGCCCATTTCGGGAAACAGAGAAGACGCCGTCATTTCGCAGAACCGTGGCGCCCTCCACCACCATCTCACCCCAGGCCACCTCCCCAGCCCGCCTGAGAGCTCTTCAGGGGGAAGCGAGGCTTGTCTTCCTGGTCCCTACGCTGGGGAGTTAAGACCCTGTTTTTGCTCCTAAATGTTACAAGAGACTTCAACAAGGAGGGTCAACTTGTTTCAATTCGATCCACAGAGATAAAGATGAAACAGGCAGATAACAGATAAATAGCTTGATACTAGGAGACGGTATGAAGACAGATGGGAGAAAGAGGAGGGAGCTGGGAAAGACAGTTTAGAGACGATAAGATCGGCAGCTGAGGGGCACCTAGATAGAGGAGGAGGGAGACAGACAGAAGATCCTAATCCTCTTGTTGAAGGCTTTTGAGCTGCCCCTCTGAAAATGGGTTTTCCTTTCCTAGGGAGTTAGAAGAGGGGCCCTCAGGGTTGGGCTGCCTGGGCCATAGGAGCGCCTGCAGCAGTGGGCCCGGGGATGCCTTCTGAGTCTGAGGGCGCCGGGCTGACCCGGGCCACCTAGAGAGCTCCAAGCATCCCTCCCCTGATCCTCCCGCTGCTGAGGTCCACGGGCACCGCTGCCTCCCTCTCTGAACCAGCAAGCAAAGCATGGGACAGGCAGCAACTTTTGACCTGGACTCTTGTATTGGCTTTGGAGACAGACTAGGATTCCCCTCAGCCCATATTGAGCCGGGATAGCCCTGCACGAAGTATACTCAGAGAGGAGACCCCCCACCACCACCCACCCACCCCCCAAAAAAAGCCCAGAGCCCAGAGAGACTGCATTTGCCTGAGCTAAAATGGTATGTCCAAAGGAAGAAAACTTGGGGAGTGAGCAGTTAAAAGCGAAGGGAAAGAGGCTCCAAAGAAATTTCCTTGAAAACTTTCCATCTACAACACTGAACCGATGGAACCAGCTATTGTCTGGACACCGCTAAAATGCAAAAAAGTGAGGAGAACTGCCGGACCTGGGCCCACGGTGGCAGTGAAAAAATACTTCCATTCCCGCCAGGAAAATTCGAGAGCTTCGTACGTGTGAACCCGCGTTAGGGCGAACAGGCTTACCCAGAACTGACCGGAGGGTGAA